ATTCAGCCGCGCAAGCCGACCTCTGCGACGTCTGGCCTGAGCTCCTGTCTGGGGACTCGAGTCCGCGCCTGCTGCGAAGCGGGAAAACTGTCAACTAACGCGGTCGGCATATAAAGCGGACTAAATAGGTAATGGCGGCAATATGTTTAGGCTACAGGGGCTGATACCACCAGCGAGAAAGAAACATGACAACTCTCACTCACGTGTTAGTTCTCGGGCATAATGATAATTCGGGATCATCAATAATTGGGACGACGTACAGAAGTTGCCCACGTCACTAAGTCTTAACCTAAAACCTTGTTTTTGATTAAAAATGACTACATAGGTGGAGTTACAAGATTACATTTCTTACAGCATAATCCCGAGGTAGAAAGGTCATATTTCTGTTTTTGAAAAGTTTCTAAGTTTCTGAGTAATCTTGGCCCTACTGGTCGTTACATTTTAATTCCAGATACCCAAACTACCTTCCTGTATACTTTCTGCCTTGGGAGAAGTAACTATTTCCCTAGGCCTTGAGGAAGAAGTCATATAAAATTTTGCTATGTGGACCTGGTTGGATAATTTACAAGCAGCATGAAAAATGGACCTTGTCTGTAAAGTGGCAATCAATAAAGAAATAAGTTACGTTACTTTATAAATACACATTTCACGATCATAAGAAATCTCGAAATTGGAAAGTTTTTTTTTCAAACCGAAATATACCCCTTCTCCAAGTATACAATTTGAAGAAAGCCTAATTTGATACCAATCGAGTACAAAGAATATTTTTTTCTGCATGTCTTCCTTGAAGTATATTTGAATCTGTTAGGGTAGTGAAAATTAGTCATAAAACACATACTACTAAAGTAGCCATTTTGTTCAGAGTATACTGTTTTTTGCAGGTGCACAGAAGGGGGCTCGCTCAAAAGCCGGCATCCTAACGTGACTGACAAAGTTGAATTGCAATAAAAATTACAAACATGCTTACTTAGCATGGTGGAAACGAAAGCACATTTCAGAATTTTGGGTTGACATTTATGGGATAGGGAATTTATTGTAGAGGTGTATGGGAAATCGATGGGAAATTGCATACTACTTAAATAGCCATTTTTACAGAGTAGATATTGAAGGCGGACGAGGATTCCGTTTAAAAAACCAGCGTCCTATCACGACTGCAGTATTATGCAATAATCGATATTTATAATTCTACTTAAGTAACATTTTATAATCGAACAGCCAATCAGAATTCAAACTTAATGAGATAGCACAGCAGCCCTAGAGCACACTGCTGGTGGTTTTGAACGATTCAGGGACTTACTCAATTGGGTGGCACAGCTTACATTACGCTAATGGACAAAACAATGGCACATAATACCGAAGATGGGGCAACTTAAAGATCTCTGTCGAGATACAATTGTAGGTGGGAAAGGTCGACAAAGATAAAGATAAAATGGAGTAAAAAACTGTGGGAACAGAGGAGCATTCGAATCCAGCGCAAAATACTAACATGGTGTTAAATTAGGTTCCAACTTAGACTGGCCGTCATCAGTTCGCGGGATCTAAAAGGTAAAGCGCAGAGGACAATTAAAATCAAGAGCAATTTTTGGCAAAACTGTAGTGTAGGGCCGCCTAAATATCTATTCCCCCCAGCCAACCGCCTTATGTAAGTGATGGTTAAACATTTAATTCTTGTTTACCCAGTGTAAATGGATATTTAACTGTGTTTAAAATGATCAGGGAGTATTATAGCCACTTATAGTTGTTTCAATGGGCTAAATTTAATCAACTGTAGTCGCCGTAAACTCTTGCTGCTCAGGCAACGGATGCCTCTTGATGGAAATTAGACCTTATAATAGCAGAATTTAAGGAAAAATGGGAAATTCGACCTTATATGGGCGAAATTTAATAAACGAAAGGAAAATCGGGCTACTCAATATGTAAAAGTAGGCCATTATTATAATTCAAAGGCAAATAGGACCTTTAAAGATAGTCCTACCCATTTTTTGAAAAACTGCGGAAATATTGCAAAACGAAATTTAAAAAAAAACATAAAATAAGGGCAGTGCACACACTGAATAAATCATGTGGTGGTTTAAGATCACATCAGAGAATTAGACTACGGCGACAAAAACGCAGCGACGGCAGCAGCTCAGCTCACGCCTAACGAAAACACACGCAGACAGGTAGCTTTTATGCTCTGGTCAGGAATATTATCGCCTCTCTAGGCACGAAGGCGACGCACTGACTTGGCCCGTTGCGTGGATCGGCTTCTGAGCATCCAGAATCTTTGAAGACTCTGTCCATTGTAAGGTTTCTGCCGCTGCTACTGTCATATTTAGTGGTCATAGTTTGCGTTCATAATTATTTTTGTGTGTTTCCTTCCTGACATTTAGGGTATATGGTAGAAATGGAGCGTCTTCTAAGGCAGCCCAAAAAAGGGAAAGTAGACCTGAGCGCAAGGTGAAAGCGAACAAAAAAGCGGCACCGCGAGACGGAGGCTCACCTTGGCTCTGGGAGGAGAGCAACTGCCCTCAGGACCAACTGCTTCCTTACTCGCTTCCTCCTCCTCCTCCTCCTCCCCTTCCTCGCAGCACTGGAGAGAGTCCTCGACTTGGAGGGGTTCCACGGTATCCGCTGTCGGTGACGCTACCTTGTGATCCCTAGCTAGTTTTCCGGTGAGAAGCAGGGAAGTCACATCACTGAACTGAATTGCATACGTCTAGAATAATAATAATAATAAGAAAAAGATGAAAAGGGCAACTGTTGCTCTGGTGACAGTCATTATTGATGCTAGTTCGATCAGTTCCTGTGGTGTGATTGAAAATACTTTGTAACGATAGAGTCGCTGAATTGACCCAGTCAGTAGTGTGGGGGGAGAAGTTATGAAAAAGCACATCACTTCGGCAACAGCTGGTCAATACATTCCCCTATCTCATTAAATGCCTTAACCAAAATTGGGAAATTTGTTTTCGATTAGAATGAATTGCTTATGTTGCGTTGCAAGATGGATTAGCACGCAACATAATCACCACATATTTCAGTCGTGTCACGGTGCCGCCTTTTGAACGAACTCCGGTTTGACCACCTGCAAGAAGTACACTCTGTAAAAATGCCTACTTAAGTAGTATGCTGTTCCCTCATTATTTTCGGCATCCTTGAAAATGCAAATATGGTTCACCTTTCGGTTTAAAAAGAGATTCTAAATTACGGAATAAGTTTGAGCCCTACCAGCTGTTATACTTGAATTGACGGCTTCCAAATTGCATGCTGCAGTACAGTACGGCCTAGAATTCGTGTAACATGCCGACATATGCGAAAGATTGATACTCTTTTGCTAATCGGCATTGATTGTCGTGTAGGCCATTCTGAAATCATTTCAGTCACGATAGAATTCCGGTTTTCTGACGAGCTTCTTTCTGACCGCTAACAAAACGCATGTACTGTAAAATTAATAGCTACTTGCGTAGTATGCATTTTTATCATAGCTTTTAACTGTCTTTATAAATTTCAATATACTTTGTGGATAACATAAACGACAAAAATTATTTATTGTACTCGTTTGGTAGAAAATTATGCCTTGTTTAAATTTTCTACTTAAAGAAAGGGTACCCTTCGGTTTTAAAAAAGTTTCCAAATTGCCCAATAATTTTTAAACCTACTAACTGCTACACTTGAATTCAAGGTTTACGAACTGCGCGTTGTGTACATCCTGTTAAAGGAGTACGTTTTCGCCTACGGCTTGAGGAAGAAGTCACATAATTCTCATCAAATATTGCAACATATGTAGAACATGCAATATACATTATAGGCAGCATTAATAAATTGACGGATGTGATGTATAATGAATGAACACCTCACAATTATAAAAAAGCTAATAATTGTAAAAAATTTTAAAATCGAAAGATACCCTTTCTTTAACTATGAAATTTAAGGAAGGCGTAATGTGCTACCAAACGAATACAATGAATAATTTTTTCGCTTATATTTTCCATAAAGTATATTTAAATTTTTAAAAGCGGTCAAAATCAATAACAAAATGCATACTACTTAAGCAGCTAGTTTTTACACTTCATACATTTGGTAACCGGAATCATATCGTGACTGAAATGACTCGAGAATAGGCAACAGGATAATCAGTATTACAACCCGACTCAAAGCCGATTAGCGACTGAGTACCAATCTTTCGCATACGTCGGCATGTTACACGAATCCTAGGCCGTACTGTATGCTCTGTTTAAGGAAATGCACAGCAGATTCCCTGTCTAATGTTGACTGCCTGCAACAAGTACACACTGTATATGTTGACCACTTGAGTAGTATGTATTTTTCTCAGTGATTTTCAATGCCTTTATAGATTTGAATATATTTTATAGCCAAAATGCACAAAAATATCCCTCCTCGTACTCGTTTGGTACAAAATAAATGCCTTCCTCAAATTTTATACTTGAAGAAAGAGTGGCTTTTGGTTTTATTGTGACATCCTCACCACCGTGAAATGTTCATTCATAATAAGTCGTATCCGCCGATTTATTAACGTTCACCTTTTCCTCATACCGTATGGAAATGGGTACATTACCCTAGACATCATGTATACTATACATAGCTTAGATATCTTGAATTCCAGTGTAAGGTTCAAAAGTATTCGACAATTTAAAAACATTTTTAAAACTGAAAGATGCCCGTTCTTTAAGTAACAACTTTAAAAAAGGCATTATTAACTACCAGAAGGAATATTTTGTGAATGTTTTTTTTAAAAATATACTTAAATCTGCAAGGCCACTGAAAAACAATGTTAAAAATGCGTACTACTTAACTAGTAGCCATTGCTTACAGAGATTATTTTTTGCACACAGTCAGCACGAGGCTTTTTCAAGAGCTGACATTCTGGCGTGACTGAAATATCTTGAGATTTTGCTGCTAATCAGTATCACAATCCTACCGAAGTAATTTATTCGAATCGAAAACATATTTCAGAATTTTTGTGGACATTTCATAAGGTAGGGAATCTACTGTCTGTACAACAGCTTGCTTGTGGTTGGGAAGCATCGTTTTCAAGCCATCTTCCTCTTCCATCAAGCATTGTATGCAAAAGTGAACTGACAGTCGTTCTCGATGATGTCCACTTCGAGCCTCAGTAAGCTGAAGCAAAGCACTGACTACCGGGAGATAATAGTGAAAGTAGACTTGCGGCGAATCTACCTCACTGTCTCACCACTCCCACACCTCTACACGATGTCAAGACAAAGGTCGAGAAGGCCAAAGATGGGGGAGGGCGCAGGCAGTGTGCGTGAAACATACTCCAACACGCGTCAAAACAACACCACCTTGGGGGCGCCATAAAGGCCACATTAAGGAGCTGTTGAGCCTGCAAGATTGAACCACCCGGTTAGAGT